ACTGCACCACTTCTGATCCAGCTCCCAAGCTTATGATCTGGAAAAGTATCAGAAAATGGCCCAAGTCCTTGGATTCATACACTCATGTGGAAGATTTGGAAGAAGCTCCTGGCTTCTGGCTTCAGATTGGCTCAGCTCTGGCCCTTGATGCTATTTGGAGAGTGAACCAGCTGATGGAAGAACTCACACTCTCTCTGAAAATTTGCTTTTCAAATAAAATAAATATATCTTTTCAAAAAAGAATTATATCTAAAATCACATTGAATCTGTTAATTGCTAATTAAAGATTATGATAAAAAATTAAACAAGCAAAAAAAACCCACACAACCAGGGGCTGTGTAACAAAATCATGACTTTACAAATGTTAAATGAGTCATAAAACTAGAATGACATATTTCCACTCAAGGAAAACTTGGTGTTATTTGTAGAAAACTGTTTTTAAGAACTAAGTGGATAGTATTTCCTTTATTTCTATATTCAGAAAATGTATTCTAGTGCCTTGATAACATTCATACTCTGTTACAAAAAGAAAGTGCTGTAAAATGATGTTACTGACATAAATTTTATCAGTGAAGTGGTTAATAATGTTGGCATTTCAATTACATTTCTAGGTTAACACTGCATTCAGTGATAAGAAAGAAGTTTGCTTCCATGTGGGTGTCTCACATTTGGGTCTGGGATTCACGAAATGCAAGATAAACTATCTTCATTAAATAACAATTTTTCCCTGAACTATAGAGATAATACTTCTTGTAAGGAAACAAACCTATATTCTGGAGAAATCAGTATAAATTCATAGGCCATTAAAACCTTCTGGAGCCAACCAATTTCAGTTGCTTCAGGCTTGAATAATTTTATTGAATTGCAATACATTTTAATTCATTCTATGTGCCTAAATTTTGGAGGGAGAATGTAGTCTTCTTTTAACTTGGGAAAGCGAAGGAGAAAAATGAAATCAATCCTTTCCACCATATCTAAGTATTAGGAGGGTTTGAAGGTGCCTGCCTAGTCTGTGTTGCCTCTGAAAGGTACAAAGATGAGAGAAGAGTGTGAGGAGTCACTGTTCTATTTCATCTGGAAACCCGCACACTCTGACTGCTCTATTCCCTTAGGGGGCCGTGTTCCTCTGCTTAAAATCCTGCCTGCTCTCTGAGGTAATGATTTGTTTGGAGCATCAAACTCTCACAGGTGAAGGTAACTGTGCAGCTTTCATAATGTGTCGTTCAGATCTTTGATCTACTTTTTTTTCCCCCCTGAATACGGGGCACCTCTCAACCACAGGATTAAAGATGTCTCTTCACAGAAGAAAGGCAAAAAAAAGTTGAAGACTTAAAAGCTGCTCAGATTTCCAAATAATAATTTTGTATTTTTTCATTTTGTCAACATCATGTTTGGCAAGTGTCATCCTTCATTCATGGGATAATTGGGTGGTAATCAAAACACAGTGTTGGATCATAGGCTTTCTAAGGAAATAGGGAAACTGCATATTTTCAGAAAGAGGTTAGTAAAAACTAGCTTGTGATGAGGACATACACCCTCATTTTGAATTCCATTTACTTCAGCAAATATTTACTCGTAACCTCCTAGGTATCAAACACTGTGTCTTCTTCTGTGATGAATACAAGAATCAGGACCTGCTTTCTGGAGACTTATGGCTCCTGATCAGGCAGTTAAAACAATGGTTCTGAGAGGAGACAAAGTGCAGAGAAAATGAATGTCATTCAATTCCAGAACAGGGGGAGGAGCCCACGCTCAGCTGGGAGGGAACTCAAGAGGTTTGGGCATCTGAGAAAGACACACATATCTTTGGAAAATCCGTTTGATGTTAAATGTTACTTGCTGTGCTTTATACAACACTGAATTCACTGTTTAATCTGGAAATACTTAGGGTGCATAACAGTCAAAGCTGTTCTATTCAGTTCCTTGTCTTTCCCACCAAGTTTACTCAGGTTTTTTTTTGTTTGTTTGTTTTTTTTTTTTTTTTTTTTTTAAGTACAGAAAATAAGACCTAACACATTTGGGAAATCTGTCACTATAATAGATTGTACATTGTTATGTTATTGTTTTTTAAATTACCCTAGAAAATTTTAAATACCGATAGAACTATTGAAAGAAATTTAAAAATGTTATGAATATATGGTTGTCAAAATAAAACATTCTTCTGAAAAAAAAAAGAAAGATACACATATGCTGTGTGTGGGTGTGTGGATGTGGGGGTGGCGGGAATTGGGAAATGGAAATGGTCAAAAATGCTGAGATGTATTTAAACAGTAACCAACTGGGAGCCAAGGAAGTTTTTTTTCTGTTGTTCTGAACAGTGAAAAGATAGAATGGGACCCGGTAGTGTGGCCTAGTGGCTAAAGTCCTCACCTTGAACATGCTGGGATCCCATAGGGGCGCAGGTTCTAATCCCAGCAGCTCCGCTTCCCATCCAACTCCCTGCTTGTGGCCTGGGAAAGCAGTCAAGGACAGCCTATAGCTTTGGGACCCTGCACCTGCGTGGGAGACCTGGAAAAGGTTCCTGTTTCCTGGCTTCGGATTGGCACAGCATCGGCCGTTGCGCTCATTTGGGGAGTGAACCAATGGATGGAAGATCTTCCTCTCTGTCTCTTCTCCTATCTGTATATCTGACTTTGTAATAAAAATAAATAAGTCTTAAACAAAAAGATAGAATGAGATTTGTGGTCTAAGAAATATTTTTGAAGCATTTAAAAGTAAATTTTGATGAGCTTTGAATTAAAACTATTTCTCTGTGAACAAGAGTGTTTAATAACGTCCTACAGATCTTGTTTCTAAATAGAATGACTACCCCTAAGAACATCAGAGAATTATGCAGGGGCATTCACTCTGCATTTTCACCTGAGTGTGAAGAATATTTTTAACTTTTACAACGATGAGGTTCTTTCACACATAAATTTCCCATCTCAATGAAATGGGGTATATTTTTATAAAAATCTAAAACAAATTGTCCCCATCCAAACAGCTGAACTTTTTAATGTCTGCAAAAAATTTTGAAATTCATTTTTTGTTCTGTTTCTAAGCCTTTGAACCAAGAACATAACCTCATAAAAACAGAGAACTAAATAAATAACTTGATAAAGCAAAGCAAGAGAACTTTGCTACAAAGCAAAACAAACAAACAAACAAACAAAAACCGGGACTGCAACAAATAAACACAGATCTGATCAGCAGATTTTATTCAGGGTCATTTTCTCATTATTACCATGTGATGGTCAGATATGACCCCCAAATAAATCTCAGAATGTGAGCAGTTTCATTTATTCTCTCCCAAACTTTTATCACATGGAGAATATATATATTCATATGGTTTATATTTCATTTGCTTTTCCATCTACTATTTTGGTACACAAAGTGAGAGCTTTAAAAAGGAAAGAACTGAAAATTATGGAATGTATTTCCAAATATACAATGACAAGCTGCATCTTAAAGTAACCAAAATATTGTCAGAGTTTTGATTTAATAATTGCCCATCCATATTCTGAAGTGCTTGAGCATGCTGAAATTTAATAAGCTGCTCTTAAAGATTCCATGAAAACACGGCTGTGCATGTTTTTGGAACCAGACTTTCCCTTACTTTATGACTAGAGGGAAGAGAGTGCTAATTAATATTCTACTGAACTCAAAAAAATCAATGAGATTCTTTGGTGCCTAATTAACTGCTATTTACTCCATGTTTTGTATAGAGGAAATAAATGCTTGAACAGATCACTATTTCATCAAAATAACATAAATGGAAAAAAGGGTCCTAATCAACTCGGAGATATTTCTTCAAATTACAAAAGCCTTACCTTACGATTGTAAAATGTTGGATTTGCAAACAAAACAAATATGTAAGCTCCAAACCCATCTTAGATTTCTGAATTTATGCTTGTTTCGTTTTCTGTTTTTAAATATCCTACTCTGAAGTTCTTAATGGGACTAGAGTTGTTGTGGCTTGGATATGGTTGTACTCCCAAAGGCGTATATTGAAAGCCTGGTCCTCACAGTGTGGCCATTGTAAGAGGCAATCTGTCGTTGCAGGGTGGGGAAGAGTGGGAGCTTGGAAGCCCAGCTCCTTTCATGCCCTGGCGGCCCCTCCCCATGTTGCCTCTCTCTCTTGCATCAGCTACCCTCATTTTGAGGTATTCAGCCATGAGGTCCCACCAGAGGTAAACCAATACCAGTGGCACTGCCATGAACATCTAAAACTGTGAGATAAATAAAACACTTTCTAAAGCACTAAGCTTCAGATATTTTGTAAACAGGAAGTGGACTAATGCAAGAATTAGCCAAATTGACACAAAAAAACTGAACCTAACATTTCCTCTAATTGGTTTTAATTGATTATTTTGAATCTTTTTTTTTTTTTAAGAAAAAGAGCGGAAAACAGAATTTAACAAACCACTATCCAATATTTTCTTAAGTGACATTCAAATCCAACTTAATCAGAAAGAAGAGAAAATTAATTCTCAATCAGGCAAGCAAATGAACAGTACAGACTAGCATCAATCAACATTTGATCTTGTCTTGAAGGTACAGTAAGTGTCAGAAAGTATATTTAAAACTCACAAGTTTATCTCACAATCATCACAAATAATCAATATGTATTGTTGACTATTTAAATTAACTGAAAGAAAATTGATCAATTTATCATCATTTTATGCTTCCCTTGAAAATTAAATGTACAATGTATATATGTCATAAAAGTTTATTTAACCTGCATGTTGTAATAACTTAATAAATTTAACTTGCCTTTCAGATTGAAATAATGAACATGTTTAGTGGTATCCCTTTTTCAATGGAAATGGACTAATAGGAAGAGTGGCCTGGAAAACCAGTGGAGGATGGCCCAAAGCCTGGGGACCCTAGACTACACATAGGCAACCCGACCCAATAAGAGACTCCTGGCTCCTGGTTTCAGATCAGCTCAGCTTTGGCTGTATCTTCTCTCCATAAATCTGCCTTTGCAACAAAGGTAAATAAATAAGCTGAAGTCTTACCAGCAACCACATCAAGTTCAATGTCACTTCTGCTCTCCTTCCAAGACAGCAGGGCATCGAGGCTGTTGAGATCTGCAGATTCTATATAACTGCTCATGGCCAGCATCATCTGATCCACTTTTGCTATTCCATAATGAACTTTGGTCTCATCCATCAGGGACACATTCATTAGCTCTACAGTTGTATCAAAAGCTTGCTGGAATGATTTAGAAGCCTTGCTGTAGTCTCCCTAAGGAAAGAAGAGATGTGTTTTGTTTTGTTTATTCTTAATTTTTGTCTCACCGTTTCACATATTTGGCCCTTTTACTCTGACAAGTCTGAGGCTGATCTTTATTCAGAAACAGCAGTTCATTTTCAAGAAAATAAAAGATAGCAAACAGGCCATTATTTGACTAAGTTTCTTTTAAAGAATGCTGACTATATACTATCTAATATCTTAAAATGAATTTAGTAATACAAATTTCTATCAGGTTGAACAGAATGAACTTTAAGTTGTTCTGAATGAAAAGTTGTCAAATACTGGCAGTTTTATATGAGTCAACCTAAAATACAGTAGCAAAAATATAAATGGGAAAGAGCTAATCAATCATACTATTTGGATACAATTCTATGAAATGAGATCCTGGGTATACCTAATGAAACATATATTTTTAAACTTTTTATACATTCATTTGAGAAAGTGAGGCAGAGCAGAAAGGAAAAGAGCAGAGGAGAGTAAAGGGGAGGAGAAGTTAAGAGAAAAGTTGAGAGGAGGGAGAGGAGCATAGAGCACATGGGGCAGGGAGGGTAGAGTGGATGGGGCAGGGTGGGGCAGGGCGGGGCGGGGTAGGGAGGGGCAGGGCAGGGCAGGGTGAAGAGGGGAGGGGAGGGGAGGGGAGGGGAGGGGAGGGGAGGGGAGTGGAGGAGAGGAGAGGGGAGGGGAGGGGAGGGAAGGTATAATCCAGTCACAGATTCAATTCCCAAATGTTCACAATAGCTAGGGCTAGGACAAAGTCCGGTACCAGGAACTTTACACAGCTCTCCCACAGGTGGTAGGTACTCAAGTGCTTGAACCATCAACTGCTGCCTCTCAGGATGTATTAGCCAGAGGCTAGAATTGAAGCAGAGCCAGGATTTGAACCCAGAGACACTAACGTGGGAGGCAGGTATCCCAGATGGCACTGTGCCAAACTTCCTTCTCCCTTAATGAAAGACATATTTCATAATAAATATATATTCCACGATAGGTATGGGAATTCTAGGAATTCCTCCCTGTTTTTCCTCCTGCGTTTCTGTCCCACACCTCCACCTCCCCATGTAATCAGAGTAGTATAGTCAGTTCAACGCATTGTAGGAATAGGCCAAGGCAGAATATCTGGTATCATGCTGTCAAGGCAGAGTTAACTGTTTCTTTAGAAGTCCTCCTTAATGTAATATATATATTTTTAAAGATTTATTTATTTTTATTGGAAAGACCAATTAGATTTACAGAGAAAAAGAGATACAGAAAAATCTTCCATCCACTGGTTCACTCCCCAAGGGCCACAATAGCTGGCCATAAGCAGGAAGCAGGATGGTATATAGAAGAGCTGAGATGTGAATTGGTGCTCCTATGGGATTCTGGAGCTTGCAAGTGGAGGATTGAGCCATTGAGCCATAATGCCAAGTCTTAATGAAATATTTTTAACTATGTTCTGTTTCCAGTTCAAGCAAGAAATTGTTTCAGTCATTCTAAAGGAAATGTATCCTTTTGTTCTCTTTACTGACTAGTTTGCTGCTCTTATTTTATCCTGTGTATGCCATTCTTTAAGAAAGCATTTATTTTTCATGTATTCAAAAGACAAACTGACAGAGGCAGAGATGATGGGAGGGAGAGAAGGATACAGAGAGAGACAGAATCTTCCATCTTTTGATTCTCTTCCTTTTTAAAAAGGGCTGGACCATGCAGAAGCCAGGAACCTGGAACTTCCACTCAGGGTATCCCACATGGATGGCAGGTGTTCCAACACAGAGGAGCAAGCCACTGCTCAAGGTGCTCACTTTGCATATTGCAATAGCATTTTGAGTCTTAACACTTCCACTTCAAAACCATCTTCTGACAGATGTATCTTGGGAGGCAGCACGTGATGACCCATGATGCCTGAACATTACACTAGCCAAAAAAGATAAAATGAGGGACACTTCGAGGGGGTGTACCAAGCAGAGTGATAGACTGCACCATTATTAGAATGGCTTTTAATGGTTCAGGAAGCTTTTGAAGTGCTAAAATATTTTGCTCATCAACCCCCTCTGAGATTCTCATTTGAGCACGAGAGTAAATAAAAAGCAACTTAGATATGGCCCCTTCTCTCATTAAGCTTATATCCTAGAAATCACCAACAAAAACAGGAAAATATTCAAGTCATGCTCTGTAAGATGAAGAAATGAGGAACTAACTTAAGGAAACAGGAAACTGTGCTGAGAAATTCTATCCTGGAAAGAAAATAAACCTGGGTGAGACCAGACAAATCCATAGAAAGGCATACTAAACAGTCATTACTGCCTGCTGGATGAATGCAGGACATTTTGGACCAAAATACACCCCTTGAGCTTGCCAAGGCAGGCATTATTTGAACAGGCAGTGTATGGAGAGGTGTGTGGATGAACCGTGCCTGGGTGGAAGCACCTACAACTTTCTCTTCTCAGCTGACCAGCCAGCTGCCATGCCCCATCTTTACTCCTTGCTCCCTCTCTAATAAATACCTTCTGTGAAAACAGTGTGGGGAGCTGCAGGTGGGCACGGCTCCTGGCCATTTGCTTGACTGCCTTGTAAAAATTTTTTCTCTCTACAGAAGACTGTGGCTTAGGTGTTTGACTCCCCTGTGTGTGAGCTAGCAAATTCATGCTGCAGCAACACAATCAAAACTGGGAGAATTAAGAGATAAGTGTTATATGGAACCTGTAACATAGCAAAGTTGAAGATAGCCCTGGTGGCTACATTTGATTGGATTGTCTTGGGTTGGCCTCTTTGAATACAGGGCTTTTCACAGATAAAATTGACTAGAAGCCAATAATAACATGAATTTCAGGCGGAAGAGTATGCCTGTGAGAGTAATCCAGCAGAAGCAGATATCCTAAGCCAAGAACCAGCCTGGCAAGTGTGAAGAACTAAAAAATAAGTTTAGCTGCCAAAGACTGGATATGGAACCATAAGGTCAGAAACACTACGGTGGAGGGCTGCTACTGCACTTGAGGGTGAATGTTTCTACTTAGGTTCTCAAGAACAGTTAGTAATGGAAGAGGTTTATTAGAGAAATAATAATGACTTATATTTGAGAAAGGTGACTTTGGACTGTGGACTGGCATATGTTTTGCAGAAGAACAGTGCATTTAGGAAAATGGACTTGGAGACAAAATAAATAGCTCAGGTGAGAAAATGCAGGGTCACACACTGGTGTGGTAAAAGTAGCAGAGACAGAGCTGAGGAGGTGGAAGTGAGATACATTTTAGTGACCTAAATATTGGGATTTGCTTCTGGATACACAACAGAGATGAGAAAATAATCCAAGGAGGTCCTGATTTTCAGGCCTGAGCAACAGGATTGACAGATAATTATACCATTGATTTAAGATAAGGAAAATTAGAGATGACACAGTCAAGGAAGAAGGAATTATGTATGTGATATCTACTAGAAACTCGGTGGAGATGCCAGGTAAGTAGCTGGCTTTGCAAGCCTGGAGTCACAGAAAGAGATCACAACTGGAAATACCCAGTGTGTGAGTCCATTGGCATTTGGACAATATTTAAAGCCATGGACCTGGGTGATGTCAGTTAAGGGGAGCTCATAGAACAGAGATGATTGCCTGGAAAATGCTTGGATACATTCTATCACGGCATGGAATTTAAAGGCAAGATGGAGAACTAAATTCAGGTTTTAGGTTATATTTGAAAAGGTTCTAGTAAAGATGGTAATTAAACAGTGGAATGAGTCTGGAATTGAAGAAGAGATGTGTGAGCCTAGGGTATTAGGTATCTTAGAGTATCTTACATTCAATATGCCCCAAGGAGTTTACTAGTACCAAACAGCTATTTTAAATTTTCTGACCTTTAAATAGCTCACTCCAAGGACTCTTTCCTTGAATTGAATGATTAGGAACATGAAGACCAAAGAACTTTTCCAAAGTCATCATTAATTAGTGCCCAGGCTCAATTCATATGCAGGTGGGGAAAAAATATAGGGATAGTTCCTCTATATTCTGCGATAGTTTCTTTGTTAGAAAAGATTAGCTAATACATCTAAGTGTGATAGACAAATAGCTAATGATTTTTTTTCACATATAAAGTTGGAAGAATGACATTTAATACAGCTAGGAAACATCTAGGGGAAGGTGTTGTGGTACAGCAAAATAAGCTGCCACCTGTATCCCAAACAGAAGTATCCATTTCAATTCTTGGTTACTCCTGATCCAATATCTTGCTAATACACAAACTAGGTAGCAGGAAAGATGGTTCAAGTGCTTGAGACTCTTCCACCTACATGAAAGACTCCTGGCTTTGGCCTAGCCTAGTCCCAGCTGTAATGGGCATATGGGGAATGAACCAGCCTATGGATGATCTCTCTTTCCCTCTCTCCCCCTCTCTCCCTCTTTCCTTCCTCCCTCCCTGTTTCTCACTCTGTGCCTCTGTCTTGATTTGAAATAATAATAATAATAATTGATTCTAAATAAACAGAGAACATCCATAAGCAAATGAGAATAGAGGCATGAAAAACTGTTTTCCTAGGAAATGACTTTATAGAACTAGAAGGAAATTCAGGTTGTCATTGAGGTTATTAGCTTGTTTCAAAAAGATCATAAGGGAAAAAAAATAACTCTCATATCTTTCTAGAAAATCCACTTTGTTGTGCCTAATACTTTTCAAATTCTTCTCTTGATAATTATTTAACAATTCACAATCAATCTAGGAAATTAAGGTTTATTTTTATTGGAAAATCAGATATACAGAGAAGGGGAAAGACAGAGAGGAAGATCTTCCATCCATTGATTGTCACTCCCCAAGTGGTCACAACAGTCAGAACTAAGCCGATCTGAAGCCACGAGCCCAGAACCTCTTCTGTGTTTCCCATGTGGGTGCAGGGACTCAAGTCCTTGGGCCATTCTCAACTGCTTTCCCAGGCCACAAGCAGGGAGCTGGATGGGAAGTGGGACCGCCAGGATTAGAACTTGTGGCCATATAGGATCGTGGCACATGCAAGGCAAGGACCTTAACCACTAGGCTAATGTTTAAGCTTGAGGATATACATAGCAAAAAATCTCAGCAATGCACATAAATTGAATATAATAATCTGAATAGCAAATAAATTTTTATTTTCCATCATAAAAATCCTGTCATGGCATTATCTACTTAATTTATTAAGCATTCTAGTTATGAGTAACCAGATATTAATGGAATCACCGAAGTATATGATTCAGCTTCAATTTCTGAATACACGTGTATTTGAAGATTGCAGGAATACCTGAAATCTTTCAAAAGTTATCTTACAATAGAGATAGATAAATGGATAAAAATGAACTTCTGACAATTGACATAGCCTTTGGATATTATTTCATGAGTCTGTCATTTAAACCATTCTCCAGAAATCAAAATTTAATGAATAAAATACCCACTGTAAGATATAACATTTTGGCAAAGATGTTAAGAAAAAATACAAGTTTAAAAATATTTCCCCTCAGAAGAATTTACTGTTTTGTCTTGATTTTCCCATTATGCTAAAAAAATTGAGTTTGTGGTGGTGTTTGTTGACAGGAAAAATTCATTTGTGCTCTCTGTACTTATGTTTTAGAGCACAATCCTAGCAAATGTAGGACTATATCACACTTACACTTACATGAGAACTGCAATAATCATGATTTGCTGTGATCCTGAGAATCTATAGATAATGATGGCCACGAGGAGCACCAGACAAACAAAACAGATCAGAGGGGAGAGTGCACAGGACTGGTGCAGCTCTCAAGGGAGACTGCAAGGAGCAGCCAAGTCAGGACAGGGAGATCAGAGGAAGCAGACAAGTGAGGAAAAGAAGCCAGAAAAAAGCAAGCACAAGACAAAGGGCCGGGCTGGGTAAGAGAGGAGAGGGAAGGAGGCAAGGCACAAATAGGCTTTCAAAAATGTCAATTTTTATATATGTGGAAGCATTATGGTGGTGGGGCGGGGGAAGAAAAAAGGGGAGAAAGAGGGAGAGTCACAGAAGAGAGGAAGAAGTAAGACAAGAGGTGAAGAGGGGACGTGTGAAAGAAATAAGAGAGATATTATAAGAGGAGGTAGAGTGGGGTAATCCTATACCTATAAAACATATCATGGAAAATACTAATAACAGTAAAAAAACAAACAAGTTCATTAAGGTGAATGAAGGAAGGAAGGATGAATGAGGAGGGAGGAAGGAAGGAGGCATAGAAGTAAGTAACACAAAGAATGGAAGTACCATTGCATTCTTAGAACTATATCTATGCATCACATGGGATCTGTTCTCTTTGTATTAATATCATTTGAACATGAGAGTTATGCTGCAATAATTATCATGCATTTGTCATGACCCTGAGAATCTGATGTATTAATAAATTCCTTTAAAAATTAGGAAAGCCCGTTGCCCCTATAAAAACCAAAAGAAAAAAAACTGATTTCACTCATCAAGTTAGTTTTACATTCTATTTCTTCATCAGATATCACAAAAATAAGAAGCATCGGGAATTACAACAAATGGCTATATGACAACAAACAGCTGTATGACAACTGAAAAACCTTGAAGAAATGGATAGAGTTTCAGACACATTCAATCTACCAACGTTGACTCATGGTGACATAGAAAACTTAAATAGACCAGTCACCAAAATGGAGATTGAATCAGTAATGATGCCACTCCCAACAAAGAAAAACCCAGGCTGGATGACTTCAATGCTGAATTCTATGAAATTTAACAAGAACTGATTCCAATTCTTCTCAAGTTATTCAAAACAAATGTAAAAGAAGAAATCCTTCCAAACTCTTTCTATGAGACCAGAATCACCTTAATTCACAACTAGAAAAAGATACAGCAAAAAAAAAAGGAAAGCTTTAAGCCAATATCTTTGATGAACATAGTTGTAAAAATGTTCAACAAAGCACTAGCTAATCAAATGAAACAACACATAAGAAAGATCATTCACTGGGACGATGTGGGATTGATTTATCCATGGGATATGGGGATGGCTGAATATATGCAATTCAATAAATGTGGTACATCACATTAAGAAATTGAAGAGTCAAAGCCATATGGTTATCTCAATTGATGCAGAGAAAGCACTAACTAAATACACTTATGACTAGTGTGTTTTATGAATAATGGTTCTTTGTAAAAGTTTAGACTTCTTTCTGTCTTACTTTATACAACCATTCTGTTGCTAAAATTTCATTCTATGTTTCTTCAGTTACACCTGGGTTGTCCTCACTTCTTAGGGAGCTGGCAGGGGGGCATCTCAGAATTTGGAGAGAGATGAATATCAGCACAGGCAGAAGGATTCAGCCATTACTATGATATTGCTTCCAATTTACATATTGCAAATTGCCGCTCAAATCCAAAGTTACTTAGAATCTTCAGTGGCCATTTATATGCAAATATGGAGACTATATCCCAAATGACATAAAGATCTGGAAGAAAAAAATGCTTGTCTTCCTAGACATTGGGCAATTAATTACCTCCTGCAGTCCCAGTCTGCATAACCTACCATAGGAAGGTGAGGATCAAACGAGAACATACTTTGTATTTTTGTTTTGTTTGTAGAATAACCAATGGTATTTTACTAAAATCCAAAATTTACACAAGTTCCCAGATGAGCCAAACAAAATGGTCAGAAGTTTTGTTGTTTTGTTTTTGAAGGCATGGAGGGTAAAGAATCTACATCTGATTGCAAAGTCACAATATTATTAGTGAGGGCTGTGATGTTTAATATTCCCATTGGCTTCCAACAATCAGGCTTGTCAATCTACAGAGCCTACATACAATCAGACTTGGCTAGAGAGCACACTCCAAGCATCTGGTTAGCTGCTTTAAACCAACGGAATTAGATTACCACTAAAAGGTGAAAACATACCTCCCCCTCAGAAAAGTAAAGAACACCCACACCCCAACAGCCATCTCTGACAACTTCCTTGATGCTTAAGCCATGATGGGGAAAATGAATGAAAGCAGAAGGGCCACTGCTTTTAAAGATTTCACAACAATCCAAAGGACACGCCTAGCCTCTGTTTGTGTTTTACAATAGTGAATTAGATACCACATGTTTGCCTTGATTTAACTTGTAATTTTTGTTTGGTTGTTGGTTATTTTTTGAACCTGTCATTAATACTGTCTCAACCCAGATGTTTCGAAGAATGGAACTTGCATTAGTTTTAACATATTGTTTACCCAATACTATGTCAATTAATTCCATAATGTTGTATATTGATACTGAGGTTTTGTTGGGGCTTTTAACTGACCGGATCTTTACTCTGTTAGCCCTATCTTCAGACTAGAGAAGGTCTCCCCAAGAGGCCACTGAACTTATCTGGACAATAAGACACTGGACTTTATGCTAGGTATGTGCTTGCAAGGAAGGAATCTCAACTGAACTTGAACTGTGGTTATGCAGCAAGGTGGAGGAATCCACCATGGGGGGAGGGGTATGGGAGGGGTGGGGGGAATCCCCAGTGCCTATAAAACTGTATCACACAATACAATGTTAATAACAATAAAAAAAGTAGTGAATTAGGACAAAACATAGATTTGCTAATGCACATTAAATCACCAAAGTACTTAACACATCTAGGCTTTTATTCTATAATATTTCTAAGACTGAGCATATTAAATACAAACAAGAAAGGAAGAAGTCTTGGCAAAACAGGAGAAGCAACGCACATTTGATTAGATCGAAAAGATATTATTACCAGCCTATGGCCTCGTGCATGATCTAGCTGTTGTGATGTTTGAGTTTTCTCGTTCTTCCACTGCTCTGTGACATCATTTGCTAACAGATTGCATGAATTGGGGGCACTTGAAAAAGCCTGGATTGCACAGGTGTACATGACCACTTACAAAATACCTAAAGGTTCTTTGGGGGCAGCCATTCCTCGCAGAAGGAACAGTTTGGGGAATCCTGGGGACTTGGAATGACCACATGAAAACAGTGCCTGTCACTGTCATCTGGTTCTGCTTTCACGCTGGGAACTGATTCTGTCTGCAAACACTGGGTTTCCTTGATGCTCCCGCATCCAGGGCAGGCTGGATATCTTGTCAGATCCCCTGAGTTCTGCCTCTGGTCTCATCTATAGCACCCCTCATCTCATGCACAAGTGAGAATTGACAGAAAATTCCAGAGGTATGCATAATCAATAAAATTCTCTGCATGAAAAAGAAACACATATACTCACTTTTTCGTTATAGATGTCTCCAAGCATTGTACTTTCTCTCACAATATCTAGGTTTTGAGAAATGCTTTTTGAAATTTTCAAACACTTTTTCAGGTATTTAATTGCTTCTGTTGTATCTCCTTGGCTGGAATAAATAAAATAGGAGACCAATGGTGTGGTATTTCACTGAATGAAAAGAAGGCATTTGTGTCTAAGGTGTCAGTGTGTAAGATGGCTATCAGGATAATGAGATGTAATGCGCAAACAATAAGTAAATATGTAGCTTGTTTTTCTTGGAGTATATAATGAATTAAAACTTAGAATTTTCTTTTTTTTTTTTAAAGATTTATTTTTATTATTTTTCTATTGGAAAGGTGGATATACAGAGAGGAGAGACAGAGAGGAAGATCTTCCGTCCCATGATTCACTCCCCAAGTGAGTGCAACGGGCCGATACTATGCCGATCCGAAGCCAGGAGCCTCTTCTGGGTCTCCCACGCGGGTGCAGGGTCCCAAAGCTTTGGGCTGTCCTCGACTGCCTTCCCAGGCCACAGACAGGGAGCTGAAAGGGAAGTGGGGCTGCCGGGATTAGAACCGGCGCCCATATGGGATCCCGGGCGTGCAAGGCAAGGACCTTTAACCACTTGTGCCACTGCGCCGGGCCCAAAACTTAGAATTTTCAAACCCTTATGATTGCTAATGGAAATGCAGAATGAGGCAGCTGCTTTGGAAAACTTCCTCCGGAACTTAGAATGGCTGAATAAGCCAGAAATGCCACTGCAGAATATGTGCCCAAGAGAAAGACATGTCCACAAAGAAACACACAAACAAACAAAACCAAACAAACGCTTGTTTGTGAATGTTCACAGCACACAACTTGTAACAGGCAGGAAATGAAGCCATGCGTCCACACATGTGAGGTATCTATATAAGGGATGCCATGATGTAGTGATACATGTTACAGCAGAGATGAACCTTGGAAACATACTAAGTAAAAGATGTCCCACAAGAAAGATCACAGCTGTATGATTACAACTGCATGGGATGTCCAGAACTGGCAAATCTGAGTAAATATTAAACAAGGCAATGGTGGCTGGAGGATAAAGATAGGGAAGTGAGCAGTGGCTGATAATCAGTGTAAAACTTCCTATTGGGGTGATAAGAGTGTCCTAAAATCAGGTAATGCCAATGATTTCACAATCCTGGGATTAAACTACAAATCCCTGGAGTATAGACTATAAAAGGAGAATTATATGTTATATGAATCATGTCTCAAAGCTCATTAGGGAAAAAGCTTTTTAAATCTTATAAATGATACGATTTTTCTTGTAGGCTTCTCTCAACAGTAGAATCTCAGGTGCTACTAAACTTATACATATGAGACTATTTGACAAAGTTCATGGAAAATGGAATGAAAAGGTTTATTTTGGTACAAAAACATATGAAAATTTGTGGGTCCACATATAGATGTCTGTATACTCTAAAAAATGTTAAAAAAAAGACTGCTTGGAATATACTAAGCATGTATATACTTTTTAAAATGAAGGAGTGGTTGGACATTTGAAACGGGTAGCGCTTAGGCAGTACACACACCAGCTGAGCCTTGTGTATACGGTGAAAACCTCAGTCAGAGAAGGATGCAATCCAGGACCACAAAGTCATGACTCTTTAATTAGCAGTAACATTAAGGAACTTTAAGCATAGCCCCCACATATACTCAGTGCCATCCTTGAAGCATGTCACCATCAACTTGGAGAAATGTATTCTACTTGAGATCAAGTGGGACAGATACTATGAGCTTTACACAGTGTTTTGAAACATGGGGCACATTCATTTGACAACTTTATTAAAGTTTACCCATGGGCCTGATACAATAGCCTAGTGGCTAAATCCTAGCTTGCAAGTGTTGTCAGGATCCCATTAGGTGGATGCTGGTCCATGTCCTGGCTGCTCCACTTCCCATCCAGCTCCCTGCTTGTGGCCTGGAAAGCAATAGAGGATGGCCCACATCCTTGGGACCCTGAGTCCACATAGGAGACCTAGAAGAAGCCCCTGCCTCACAGTTTGGGATCAGCTCAGCTCCGCTGATTCGGTCAATTTTGGAGTCAACCAGCAGACAGAAGCTTTCTCTTTGCATATCTATCTTTCCAATAAAAATAAATACATCTTTAAAAAACTAGTCGTATTTTGAGGGTAAATTCAGTTCTATAGGCAGCCAAAAGAAATTTTAGAGAGCTAACATCAGCTTGCATAACCTCCCATGATTTGCATGACAATATTCATTTTCTTAAAGTGACTGGTATATTTGGAAAAAATAAGTTAGACTGCATGAAAGTCATACCACATGTGTTGTGGGTATTAAAAAGCGCTTAGGCTTAATCCAGCTTGGCTTCTTAGACAAGTAACTGATTTTCTCAAAGTTAAGAACTGAAAGAAACTTCAAATTCTTCCTTTTTTAAATGACCACAAATTGCTACCAGACAGCAGTTGATGTACAGCCTTGCACAAAGTGTGGATTTAGTAAGTGACAGCCAAGAGTTTGTATCATCTTTGAAATCGATGGCTCTCACATAGGTGGCTCTCCAGTTGATTCTGTCTACCACAAGCTGCATAAAAAATTCAATTTAGTAAGCCACTATTTCCTTGAAAACTTTAAATCATGAAATGATTTGAATGTGTGGTTTGAATGTACATGCTGCAAATAAGTCACACAAAAACCCTGGTGTCTGTTTTCCAGGGAGCAGGATCAAAGAAATAACAGTTTCATTCACTTGAGTACCCGAGCCTGTACAAAATCAATTCTTTCTCCATTTATTATTGGTGAGGAAATTGCTATATATGAGAAATAGGATGGTAACTCAGCTTCCTGAAACTATGAACACTGCTTTTAATGATCCTGTCCTCACTTTTTTACACGTCAAAATCATACCTAATATTTCAGTTATAGATAGATGAAATTCTACAGAAACATGATTTTGGGGAGCATTTTCTAAATGTAGGCTTAAGACTGAAATCAAACGAGATGTTCACTAATTATTTGATTTTTCTTATAAAATAGCTAAAAGGTAAAAAGAGCTAAAAAGCACAGAATAGTAATAAGTTAATAAGTTAATTTTTGGGGGTGTGGAGCAAATTTACGGATTTCTGAGGTTAAAATTCTTTTATCTAATTGACGTTAACTTTCCAAGCTACTTCCCAGACTTTAATCCTTAAGAAAATATAATGAAATGCAAGAACCTGGAGGGTCCTTTGTACATGATTTTACAATACTGAGGAAAAATATAAGTGCTATTGCTATTTAGGTGAAACAAACTCATTGATGGTTAGGTTCATGCTCCTAAAAGCTGATATATTTTTGATGGAAGTACATTTTGGATTAGATTTGTTCTGCTGGGAATTCTTAAATGAAAATACACATAGACAAAAAACAAGTTCATGGACAAGGAATGCAAAATAGCATAAATCAAACTACTGCCGGATTATTCGAGTTTTTTCTTTCCCAAGGGCCAATAGACCTCCAAAGCATTAGAAAATTCTTCAGAATGTGCTCTAACAAATGCAGCTAGAGGAAGGTCTTTGTGTCAAAAGTGTTATACTCTACCCCATGGATGTATTGTAGCTAGAGAAGTTATTTATTATATGTTGGTTAAATAGTTTGTTAATGTACAAGTTAGTAGTAGATTTAAAAGCCTATCTCTATGAAAGAGGCAAAAATTATTTCCTTCCAGAAAGGCTCCAGATGATTTGTGTAAGTTAAGGGACAAGGTTAAAATGTTAGACAAATATTAATTCCAGGGTTCTATATGCAGTGCACAGGTGCAACTTGAACAGCACATTATATGGTATAATCATTAAATTCATTCAAGCAGACCTTAGAGACTTAAAAACATATATTCTGAGGAACAGGACTCTGCGGTCCAAAGAATGAGAATGAAACAGTGCAGAATATTTGTGTATCAAGGTGATTCCAGTTTCCAACTGGGAAAACAGGACGGTTAACACCCACGTCCCCTGACAACTGTCCAATTATGTATATCACACTTGGCCTACTGTTTGCAGTAGAAGTAATCAATAAAGGATGTGGTTGAGTGAACATAGATTTTGGCTGAACCAATGCATGAAAACTTAATCATTTACTCAGAGAGAAGAAATCAAATAGAGCAGAGATGAAACAGCCACTAAGGGGTTTGTTGATTGTGCCACCAAGTTTGTGGGCCAGAGATGAAAGTAATAAGGCAAATGGGATCAGTGACAGGAGAAAATGTGAAAAGCTATTCTTAATTTCATGAATTAATAGAAATATTGTGATTTTTTCAGGTCATTTTTGGAGATTATGCATCAAAGCCTGAGTGTTCCACTTTAAAGAACATATGAAATTACTAGGGCATGTTATTTCTCTGAAGGAGAAATTAATTTCCAGTTATAACGGAAAGTTAATTTTCACACTTGGAACTTTGTGCTGACTGATTCAAAGATCTCCACTGTGGAAACTTACCAGAAAATAAGATAACCTGGGTTTGTAAGATTTCCAATTGGTATGGAATAAACCCAGAAACAGAATAGTTGTAAACAATGTGTCTTGAAACCCACTTTTGTGATTCTTTTTCCTAGATTCTTTTAAGTAGTCATCCAGATGATGCTGATGAGTTATGGCATTTCAGTGAGAAATCACTTCAGCAAATAAATCAAAAAAAGAAAAGTAAACATCATAAAGAAAAGTGAGGATTTTTCTTTTTTATTTTTTGAAGTGTATATTTATATTTACTTTGAAATATTTCAACTCACTTTTTTTTTCTGAACCATAGTTCCAGTCTTTATCATTCATAAAGCAATTGTTATCATTTTAGTCCATCAGGTTTTCACTGGAATTCTAATGGGGGCCTTTTAAATGTGTATTGTTGCTATGCCATTAAAATTCTTATTTAGTTATCATTATTCAGGAAATTGCAAAAATGATACAGGTCCAGAATTAAAATGCTCTTTATAATTCTAGCACAAGGTCTGGTCCAAACACATTACAAATGGGAAACTCTGTGTTCCCAAATTCCTCACCTTGAGAGAATGTGCTGTATTTTTTCAATGGACAGTTCAGAGTAAAATCTCATGAGCATTCTTAGTGCTTCCAGCCTTCTTGTTTACTCATTTGCTCAGTGGCTGGTGTTAGACACACACAATAATCCTAGACACAGCTATCCTCTTCCAGTTCTTGGAAGGAGATAAAATATATTCATGGAGATAGGGTTACCATTGGTGAAAATCATGTAATCATACAGGTTATGCAAAAGAGATTTAGAGGGGATGCTGGGCTTCACACACCATGCAATTTATATCTCAACTCCCACCTCCAAGGTCTCCTTTACTTAGTCTATGTTTCAACTCCTGCATATTGCTTGCAAGAGAATATGATGTGAAAGGGATGATGATGATGATGATGTGTGTATGTAGGTGCACTCATGCCTATTGAAGAATATGGTATCCTCCAAAGCAAAATTTTAATAAAAATCACCAGCACAGTCATATAGAAATACTTCTACAATTTAGTGGACCTGATTTAAGAGTGCTGCTGACTACCTGTATATGATTTCTGGCTTTGAAACATCTGCCCATCAATAGGTCAGAGTCTTAGATTATTGTGCACAGAGGCTGAAAGAACACATGGAGCATTCCATTCCCCTGAGCCTGCCTCTGTAACCACCAACAGTCCTGCCAAAGGGCAGACATGGGCTGGAAAGCTCACTGTGACCTCGGTCCTCTCTGACCTCCAAGGAGGCATCTCTCATGCCATTCTATGCACTTTTTTTCTAACAATGTAAAATTAAGACCCTTTGTCTGCCACACTAAGCAGGGATAGCTTTATTATTGCAGTTTAGTAACAAGGATTCTCTTTTTGTTTTTTTCTTCTTTTTCTTTCTTTTAGTAAATGAGGATTCTTACAAGTAAAATTATTTATACTTGGTATAAAAGAGAGATGGGGATTAATCTTGCTCCATTATCTCCTTGCCTTAAGGCAAGTTACTAGGCTACTCAACAGAATTGTTCATCTTTCTACCAAATGCACACTTGGTTTGCAAATACATCAAATATAGTTACGTAGTCTCCAATCCTTAACCCCTAAATAATACTTAATAGCTAAATTTAAAAAATTAGATTTTCTGTTGCTGCCAAGATGTTTCAGATAATCATTCAGTTCTCTTTTTAGCTTTGACTGTATGTGCTAAGAGTTAAAATCACAGCGTGGAGACTAAAGTATTCCAGTTGAGACCCAAGGTTAATATATGAAAGTTACTTGAAGAAAGCTTCTTGGGTCCTGGTATCATAAAAAATTATAAAAGCTATCACCATCCAAGAGGGATGTTTACCACTTCACATCCAAATGTGAAGATACAATGCATCTCTACTTCCAAATTGAAGACAGACTCCCAATGAAACTGTTAAATATATCTTGGTGATAGAATGTTGGACTGTCTGCCATTGTCCATATCTCCAATGTCAGGATACACTTCAAAAGCAGAAAGATGGATTTATGACTGTTTATGAAGTACTATTCTATTGCAATAATATAGGACAAATCAGTGGGGGAGAGAAGGTGGAGGGAAAGCCAAGAGGTTATGGGATTGTATCATGAAACAATAAATAAATTTAAAATATTTACAAAATACAAATGGGAAGAAATCAGATCTTTATACATGTATTTGTGCTAATCTCTAGATATGTTGCTGCTGCTATTTTTAGAAAGCTATATTTTGGATATAAGATAATTTCAAAATTCAAGCTCTTAATTTGGATAACTTTTCTCCTCTTTATTCTATCATGGCTTAAGCCATAATGCTATCATGTAATGTAGTCATTAAATGGAGTACACAGTGACCACAAAGGGTTACTCTTACATTTTCCACGGAAAAACATATGTACACTATGTATTGCTTATATATGATGTTTCGAAGAAGATATAGGAATATTGGTTTGGCACCCAACTGTCTATCTGGATCTGCTTTATGGAGAGATGTTTTAAGGAAGGAGCATGACTGAAGCATAAACAGCAACTGTCCTCAAAGAGGAGATCTGGAAAGGTTATGAGAAGCTGGTTGCTGAAGATACTCATATTTCTGTTCCCTTTGCTTTCTTCACCTGTGAGATATGATCTGATATTCACTACCGGATTTACAGAAAATGGAAAAGAAAATATTATAAAGGAGGAACAGATAAGGAAGAATTTAGCTGCATATTTAAAAAAATACTGTTTGAGTTTAAAATAATATGCAACGAAAGGGTCACTTAAGAAGGGCACTACTTAAAATTTAAGCAGGCAGTAATGGAAAGCGACAGACCTCAAACAATTTAAGGCTTTCACAGCTGAGTGAATTCACAGTGACAGCAAGGCCAGGAGGCGCTAACTTACCTCCGCAGGACCTTGGCTATGGCTTCGTAAGCTCTCCCCAGGCTGAGATCGTCGTCCAGGTCTGAGGAGATTCTACAGCATGTATTAAGGACCTATCGGGGACAGAAACACACATGGAACATACAGCATGGCCAGACACACTGAGGCATCATTTCCTAACAGGAGAGATGAAAAGCATGCTTTCAAAATGTATCTACAACTTTCTTTATTATTATTTAAAAATTCACATGGGCTTGCTTGCTTTCTATCTGTAGTGTTAATTGCTTCATGACAATTTTTTAAAGTTCCCTTGCTTAGGGGAAAATCATTCTATCACAATTCCAAATATTCCAATTTATATAGCATGTTTGAATAAAAAATTGAATGCTTAGAACATTAGTTTAAAATAGGAAACTCTTTTATAAGGTAATGTAAGACAGATGATAATATTCTACTCCAGAAGCCTAAATATCACTTTTCTTTCTATAAATAGCTTTTTGAAAAGCATGAATTTAAATGCTAGACAATTTCTACACATACCATTTTATGAAATAAATATCTCATGGTGTGTACATATACACAGAATACAATAAAAATATTCCTTACAAATGTACTCTATTGCCAACAATCTCTTCAATAACCAAAAGTTTACAGCTGCCAAAACTGATGTGTGGTCTTAATTTATCACTGTCATCATCTGTATGATGTAATTTTCTTTGCTTTTTTCCTCCTTTTCAATTGCCAGAAAAACAAAAAATTCATAGAACAAAATCTATGTTCTCTTTTCTTATATTTTTATTTGATCCAATCTATTACAGGAATGAGCATACAGGAAATTGCCAAAGACCTTTATGAAATGCAAAACATATCTTCTAAAAAGAAATTAGTCACTAGATAGTACCTGGGAGAGGGAAAGAGTATGACTAGGACATATACAGACTGTGAGTGAGTGATGCTGCTTGGATTAGGCCGCTTAGCAGCTTCAAGCAAGAGAGGCAGTGTTAATAATCTTTACTCTCCTAAAGCTAACATTTGCAAGGTAATTTAAATGACGGCGATACCTCAAATAAATGGTTTGACATAACAATGACTGAAAAACTTACTCAAGATCGTTTTGGAACCGGGGTTATAATTTTTGCCAAATGTATAAAGTTCACAGTTTTTGCTGATTGTTTGGATCTTTAAAAAGTTACCTGGCTCTAATTGGCAAATAATAAAAAAGCACATTTTTTGGAGACAATGTAGCATTTTGTCTTATGTATAGATTGTAAGAAGATTAAGCTAGTAAATACAATGATTGTTTAATAAAACTTTTATTTTGTGGCAATAAATTTTAAAATCTATTACTTTATCAATTCTGAAATAGATGATATGTTATTATTAGCCCAGATTCTAGTTTTAAGCTGCTGTGTAGACCCCATGTAAACCTGAGAATATACATTTCATTTTGCTTGTGTAACTGATAACACCTATGTGTAATGAGCTCTGGCTTGATGTAGACCTGTCGGAAACAGAAGCAGAACCCCTGAAATTTATGAATATACAAGAGAGCTTACTGAAGCAAATTATCAAAATATTTAGGAAGACATTCTGTTATGTATTTTAGCCTATATAATTTATATGACATTCTAGAATATTAAAGGCAATTATATCACAGGCCAAAAATAGGTCATTGGCATTTTCAGCAAACACCATGTCCTAGACATTATTCCAATATTAGGAAATATTTTTTAATGTTTAAATTTTTAAAATTTAAATTAATTTTCAATGATTTTAACATAGTTGATTAGGGTGATAAGGATCAAGGGCTACTGGAAGGTAAATGAGATCACCATTTCCACATTCTCTTTTTTTCCTTCCTGTATCTGGGGAAAGGGGAGAGACAAGCAGAGAAGACACATTCAGCCTCCCAAACACCTCAACACCTTGGGATGGGGGGCAGCCACCCAGCACCATCCCAGAGTCCCCGATGTGGGACATGATCTGAAGGTCCTGCTCATGAGGTTTCAATAGTTCAACAGTTCCAAATTATTGCTGATTTCACCACTCCAAGCACGATGAATTCTATCGAGAATCAACTGGTTGACTGAGTCCACCTTAGAGTCTTTGTTTGCCCAGATATTCACTGCCAACACTTGGCTGGGATAGCTGATCAATTTGTTCTGTCTTCCATCCTCTGTTGTGGTACCAGGTATCCTCTGCAGATTCCAATGTACTCCCATATCCTTCATGTGCACCTGGCTAAGCTGTCCACTGCTGTCTAAGCCACTGAGAAGGCCCAGCTCTGATACTTACACTTCACAGTCAGACCACGGAACCTGTAATTCTCTCCATGATTGGGGTTCTGAGTCCAGCAATTCAGTGGAGGAATCTCTAGAGAAACTTCATCTGAGGTGATCCCAGACCTGATTCTTGTGTGTGCTTGCTAATACAGACTCTGGCACAGTTTGTCACCCCAATCAGCTTATGTGCATGATAGTGGTTCTTGGTTCAGTTCTGTCTCCTGTCCTGTCTTCTACATAAACCAATGGGTATTGGAGACAAACCTGGTCCTGCCCACTCAATCTTCACGTACACTAGTGGTAGCTGCAGCCTAGCTGTAGCAACCCGTGACCCGCGATAACCCCCACCAAGCCCTCACTCCTTGAACTCATTTCCATGTTTGCCAGTATGTACAGTAACTGGTCCAGTTTGTCCACATACTATTCAGCTTTCATACATGTCAATGGACATTGAAGCCTAGTTCAACCCAACCAGCCCTACTATCCAGCCTACACACATTCCTGTTTTGCCCCCTCTCTGTCTAGCCATGCCTGCCCCAGTCCTGGTTCTCATGTTCACCAGTTGAAGTGGCAACCCAAGAAGGAGGTACCCACTGTTTCCCAAATGGACCCACTCCCACTCCTGGTTCTTGCACTCTCCAGGTGGTTCTGCAGTTTACCTCGACAGAATTTGCCCCTAGTGCCAGCATCTGCCAGCTGGTGCTATGGCAAAGCCCAACCAACCCACATTCACTCTGGTTCATGTATGCACCATTTGGATCAACTCAGCCTGGCTTTCCTCTGATCCAGCTCACATGAGGCCCACAGGTGTTGTAGCCCTGCCCGGCCTGATTTGCCTCCATCCCAACTCACATTCTCCAGTCTGACCAGCCCTCCACATCCCCCACAATTGGCTTCGCCCCTTCACCCCTGGTTCTTACATGTGCTGGTTGGGTGCTGCAGTCCAGTCTGGCATGCCCCACCTTCTCCTCAACATTTGCCAGTAGGTGCTATAGCCTGGCTGGAGCCGGTCCACCCCAATTCTAGCTCCCACTAGTGGGGACTAGACTAGTCCAGCCCAGCTGGCCTCTAGTCCTGTGCCTCATGTGAACTGGCTTGTGCTGTGGCCCAACCTAGTCTGACCCACACTCCATTCTGGGGCTGATACGAACTGGCACAGCCTGGTTTGCCCCGAATTTGAGCCAAACACATGCTGGTAGATACCATTCCCAGGCCTGGTCCAGGCTGCTACTTATCATGGTTCTTGTGCTCACCTGTAGATACTGTGTTCCAACAAAGGAGTTTCCCAAACCCATCCATCAGAACCTCTCCCAGTGCCAGATCTCACACCTACCAGTTGGTCCACTGGCCAGCCCTACGTAGTCCACCTACTGTCCTAGCAGGAATAGTGGCCTTTCCTGACTGGCCTTCATCCATTCCAGGTTTTATAGCCCAGCCAAGCCTGATTCATACCCAGACATAACTCACACATGGCTCAGCAGGGCAGAGGCCTAGCCTGGCCTGTCTTACACCAACCCTGGTTCTCACAAGCCCCAGTGGGTGCTGGAGTCTATCCCTGTGTGGAGCATCCCAGTTCCAGTCCACATTTGTGCCGAGGGACACTGCAACCATGCCCAGACCAGATAGCAGCCCCCACTCTGGCCTTTGCATTCAACAGTGGGAACCACAATGCAGCCCAGGTGTCCCTTTTGCTCCCCAATCAGGCCTGTTCCTAGATGTTATTCAGATCTTAGGAAATCTTAAAAAGAGGAGAACATGTTTGTAACCTTCACAGCATTTAAAACCCAGAGACATAGGGTTTGGACTGAAACAATCACTTAAATTAATAATGACTGAAGTCTTATTTCTCCAGAGCTGAATCAGTGCATAGCTGATCCAGCTTGCTCTGGCCCCTGTGGCCCCTGTGGCCCCAATGCATAAGACAGCATTCAGAAGCACGTAGCCTCATGCAAAAGGTATGGTTGTTTCCCATGGATGGACGGGCAGTGCCCAACAAGTTGCAGATAGAACCTTTACTATTGATGTTTCCTACTCCACATGGATGTGGTATAATTCATGAAGTATCCTGGACAAAATTCAGGTCCATGCTAGTTTTGACCCCAGACTTGACTTTACCCTAGCTTCCTCACTGAGAAAAATGCAGCCTACTGGAATGAATGCTATTTCAGAATATGCAGAAATGGATTACAGTCCTAAAGCTCCTACAACTAACACACTTGGGCCCAGAAAACCCTGTGTGTTTACTTTCCTCATGAGCTAACAAAGCAATCATGAAAGGTGATATGCGAATCTCAGGATAAGAATTTAGGAATCTGTTCGCAGCCATCAGTGAACAGTTCCTACAGAGTTTCCCTCCTCACTTAAAGCTGGAAGAGTTTGTGTATCCTCTTAAGCAATTTACCTATAGATGGGAAATGTGGAGCAAGTAGGAGGAATATAGTTCATCACTGGCAAAATAGGATCCATTCTATAAGGTCTTAAGAACAGGATCTCCAGAAGAGGAGGACATGCCTATGGGTGAAATCATGAAGAGAATACAGGGCATGATCCAGCACACTGGTGAACTCACTTCCTGGGAAGTCCTTCCATAGGATAAAAAATAACACACAAGAATAAATGGAAAAATCATATGAGGTTATGTGTACAACAAAGATGTTGAATACTGATTCAAAGTAAGTTCCCTTAAGCAGGAAGGCACAATCTACAAATCACTATCCAACCATCAATTTGAATCACCAAATAGGATTTCTTGTTCTAACTTTCTTCCTTTCTTCATTTCTTTCTTTTTTCTTTTTACTTTCTTCCTTTATCCCTCCTTCTCTCCTTCTTTC